CCCGAGGAAGGGTCTGGAAACCAGTGCCACCACGTCGGACGAGGGCATTGGCTGTCCTCACCCCACGGACTAATTCAAAGTTGTGCGCCACCGCGCCCCCGACCCCTGCGGGCGCCAGCCTGAGAGCGAGATGGGAGGGTGGGCCTTGGACCCTCACCCGCACCCGGAGGCAGGCCTGCTGGTGCCTCAGTATCCCTGGTCGAGCCAGGACGCCTAGCGGAGCCCGTCCTCCCTCCAGGGTTTCCGCTACCTCGGACCCGTGCGCTCTGGACTCGGTCTTCAGCTCCAGCGTGTGCCGGGGTGGAAAGGAGGGAGGACGAACAGCGCAGACCCGGGAGGGAGATGCAGATCCCAGGGGGCGGTGCGGTGTGGCGGGCGCCCGCTTCGGGTCCACTCTGCACAGCTCCCTTTCTCGCTCGGTGCCTGACTCCGGGGCACCGCAGGTCCCTGACACCGCAGCCGCAGGAGTGAACTCCGCACCTGGAAAATCGATCTGAGACGCGCAAGGGCCTCCCATTGGTCTCCAACGGGTGGCAGAATCTGGACTGAGGGCCAGGACCCTGGAACGGGGTCTTCCAGTGGGGGAGGGCACAGGGGGCGGGAGAGCTGACTGTCCATCACAAGCTACGCCTCCCCCAGCGCCCCTCCCACTATCGCCCCGCCCATGGGCCATGCCAAATATCTGTCTACGCCCCGGGAGATCCTATTGGCTAGAAGGCCGTGGGCAGCTACACCAGCAACCAATTCAAACGCATAGTTGGCCCCATGAAGGCGGGGGAAACACCTCGGTAGCCAATAGACAAGAGGAACGGCGAAGTACTTCCTGAGTTCAGGGGTCAACTGAAAATGGCGGCCACCGAAAGGGTTTGGTGCTTGTGCGAGTTATTGAGGTGAGTCAGTGACGTGGGCTCGCAGGCGTTTTCTGTATGGTGGTGATGCATGTCCGCGCAGTGCAACTAAAGTTTGCGGGGAAAGTCTTTTCTTATCACGAATCTAAGCTATTTTCTCAAGGCCAATGAGCGCTATTCCTTTCAATCTAGAGTCTTCTAGATAGGAGCAGACGGGGTTAAAGACTCAGTTTAATGTCTTTTCTTCACCCGCCCCACTGCTGGCTGAGCGGTTGAGTTCTCCCTGTTCCAGCTTTTCCTTTCTCTTGTTCACACTCCAACTAGTCTTCCATAAATTATTTATATTCCTCATTTTCCTTTATGATTGAGCCACAAATCATTTAACAATCTGTCATGTCTGGTAAAGAAGAAACTGGATCTTCCTTTTAACGTTTTAGTTTCTCTAACTCACCCAAACTGTCATTAACATTAGTCACTTAAGTATAAAATTTTTGTTGAATCTTCTGCTTCTTGATCACCCATTGATTTTTATTTCTGATGTAATAAGAGTTATATGAAATACTACCTTTATCTTTATTACATGGATAATAAAGTGTTTTTGTAGAAAAGTTAGGAAATAGATAAGCAGAATCGAAAATTCGCTAGGAATGCTACTATCCTGAGGGAACTCCTGTTAACATTTTAGTGAAAAAACTCCCAGACTTTTTTCCACATTTGTTTTCGTAATACCACTGTATTTTACTTCTCTTGCCCTACATTAATAAAACAAAAAGACTTAGTCTATTACATCTAAACAGTTCTTTTAACTTCTACATATTTTCGTTTAGGTTGAAAATTTATAATTAACACAATAGCACTCTGAATGGCAGTGTTGACATATTCTCACCAAAATTCAGGTATTGTTCCCTCATTTTTGTCCCTTCTACTTCAAATTCTATAATTTTTTTAAACATTTTAATGGGAAAATTTATTTTCAGAGCCTTCATATTCTGTCATTTGAAATATCCTTAACTCAGTGCTTTGAACATAATAGCTAAATAAATGTTTGCTAAATGAATGGCTCACCGTTGATTACAGTTATCTTTTCAAAACCTTTTGTTTAAATTTGGGTAAACATTCAGTGATAAACATTTTAGTTATATTTAATTGAATTCTATAAGAACTGTAAGTGTATCTTTGAAGCCAAGAGCAAAATAAAGGACTGGTTCAACATTAGTCATTAAAGTGATTTTTTTTTTTTCTGATTTTAAGTGAAATAGTTCAGTTTGGAAATTCTATCACATAAATTTCCCACTTAAATCATTTGAAGGAAATGTCATAAAAATCTTTGGATTCTATGAGTCAGCTACATTTTAAATTAAATGGGCTTTTGACTTGACTATCCTATATATCTACCCTATATAATATTGCTTGTATGAACTGACATATTACAAATGTTAAATAAATATTAATATCTTGTTATATAGAATATTGAAAAGATATGTACTCAGGGTGCTACTGGTATCCAGTTGGGCAAGGCCAAGGATGCAGCTAAACATCCTAAAATGCGTAAGATATAGCCTCCACAACAAAGAATTATCTGATCCAAAATGTCTATAGTGCCAGGGTTGGGAAACCTTGATGTAAACAAAAACTGTCCTTGTTAATTTTTAAGAGTATAAAGATGTCCTGAGACCAAATTATTTTAACAGGTGAAATACCTCTTCAAGTAATGGGCTTGTTCACAGTAAGGAAATCTCACATGAGAAATTTATTTCAAAACTATCAATAAGATATTTTCAGAAGAATTTGTGTGTTCTCTACTTATGGACAGTGAAAACTATGTAACTACATAATATATGCCCATATTTGCTTCAGTCATTAAGCATCCCAGAGCCTAATCTGCTGTTCAGTACTATATACAGACTTAGAGCCTGCATATCTATTTCCCAAAGGCTGTCTCCTCTCCCCCACAACAGACTTTAACTCTATATTTTCCCTGGTCCCTGACTTTTCATTACTTAAGTTTTAATATTTTATTGTTTTTGCGACTTCTAAGCCTCTCAGCTCCTTTATAAAGGGTAGGCACGGTATTAGAAATACTGTTAGGTACCAACTATACTAGCAAACCCTAAGAGAAAAACATTCCTTGAGAAGTTATTTTAACAGAATTTAAGAGACATCCAAGGAGGTAATAAGATTTTGTGTTCAGTCACTATATATTTATTGGATGCCTTCTCTGTGCAGGTATTATGCTAGGCATTGGGATGCAGTGGTGAATGAATGAGCCTAGGTCCTTTGCCTTTGCAGAGCTTCAGTTGATTTGGCAACAATAGAGAACCCTTTAGTGGTGAGTGTGGGAGCAAGCCTACTTATGTGCCTGAGGTAGAACATTAGTGGATTTTTGGTGACCCATTCAGAGACAAAGAAAGGAAGGCAGTAGTGATTTTAGGGTCAAGTAAACAGATCAAATGCAGAACTCAGAATAGAAATGAAGAACTCTAAATTCCATTCCTCTTACCCCAGAAATTGTTCTACTTGAGATAAAGTGAGAGAATAAAAATTATTTACAATCTCACCAAACTTTTATCTAGTAGAATATTGATCATTCAAGAAGACATTTCTCAGATTACATATTGTCATTTTGAGAGTCAGATGCCATTACTAATCATGTCTTGTTGAGAGTAACAATTAAATTTATTTTAATCTCTTAACATATATTGAGTTAGGAGAAAGGTGACTCAGCATTGATTTTCACTGCTGATTAAAAAGAGAAAATGTATTAAATTGCTAACATGCTGTGGAAATTTGAATTAAAAGAGACACTTTTTTCATTGGATGTTTCGTAGCTTTTAACAATTGCGTATTTTGTTAGCTGACTCACAAGCTATAAAAATTTTCTCTCTGCTACTAAATTATAAAGTGGATATGTAATAGTAGGCTTTACTTTGTAGTCATATTTTTGTTGAATGGGCATTATATCAATTTTCACCTTTTCCTTCTTGTTTCAGGTTTTTTAATTCATTATTCTTACCTGGGCTAATTGTATGTGGAACATTATGTTTGTGTCTGGTCATTATCCTTTGGAGAATCAGAGTGCTGCTACAGAGAAAGAAAAACTCAGCATCAGTTGGCAAAAATGGGAAAAATAAAATGGTGATTGCATTTTTTCATCCATACTGCAATGCTGGTGGAGGAGGAGAAAGAGTTTTATGGTGTGCATTAAGAGCCCTGCAGAAAAAGTAGGTATTCATCTTTCTTAGCTAATTTGCTATATTGTTACCACTTTTTAAAAAATTCATTATCCAGAATTCATCTTTTTCAAGTACCTTATTCATAGCCAAGAATTCCTCTTTTAACTATTCTTCAATAAGGAAATACTCCTCTCATATGCCAACCTGCTTTACACAATTCTACTGAATTTTCTTGCTATAATAAAGAAATGGAAAGTATCTGGCCTTTTATAACATAACTTAGTGAGAATAACTAGTCACCTTGGGGGAGGATATGGAGAAGAGATTGACTAATAAACAGAAATATGCCAAGTACTGTGGAGCACTTTAAACCTGAATACTTTTAGTCAGTGGTGGCACACCCAGAATAATTTTTATGAAGCATCTATTTGACTTTTATTTTGATGTCATCAATTGGATAGTCTCAAGTTACCGTATTAGAAAGAATATGGCATTATACATCATTTAATGTTTTAGACTTCCCCCCCGCCGACACACACCCCTATCCCAGAAATATTTATGATTCCCTTTTAGAAAGGAAAAAACATAGAAAACACAGGTTTTATTATTGTTTTATCATATGAAAAAAGTTATTATCCTTCCACGATTATTCTGCTTCCTGGCACATACCCTTTATTCAGGTCCAAAGCCTTCACAGGTAATTCCTTTAGCTCTACATTTCTATATTCTTGGCCCATCCTGGCTTCCAGCTACCACCCCTGTATTTCCTCTTCTAACTACCATAAGTGCCTAAATCCAAATAATTTTCTTAAATCTCAGCTTAATTCCCAGCTCTTTGAAGCCCTCCCTACTTTAATCCATACTATTTTTCCTTCTCATAACTCTGTTACCTTTCTCTCTCTAACAAGATTCTCTAACTTTTGAGGGCAGTGGTAAAGTTTCATGATACTTATACACATACTCCCCAGTAACCCCTATTATACTAATTCACCTAAAAGAAAAGAAAATCCATACAATTAGGGTGACATAGAAGAAAATCCTTCATCTTGCTCTTGCCACATTTTGTTTCTTATCCCTCTTCATTCCTTCATATGTACTTTGCTCCAGCATACTGAACCAGGAGCATCATGCTTTCTCTAGCTTCCTTGCCTTTTCATATAGTATTCCCTTTTTTCTGAAATAACCTTTTTCTCCTCAGTTAATACCTACAAATCTTTCTTGACTCAACATAAGCTACAGTATACTTTTCATTCAATCTAGCAATATTTCTGGGGATCTACTCTGTATTAGGCACTGTAATCGGAGTTGAGAGTAAATGATGAACAAGGTAAATCAGGTCCCTCCTCTGGTCCTTAGATCTTAGTCGAGAGAGACAAGATAATAATCAAAGAAGAAAATATCAAATGGTGAGAAGCGCTATATAGGAAATTAAAAAGATAATATGAGAGTGACTTGATACTTTAGATTGAGTGATTAGGGAACATCTCTGAGGAGATAACACTTAACTGAAATCTGAATGACAAAAGTAGCTGACATTTACTGAGCTTTTACTATTTTAACCAGACATTATTTGGAGACTGTTACCTGTGTTAGCTCACTCATTTGACAGACAAGAAAACTGGGTTATTAGAGCCCCCGTGCTATACTGCCTGCCTTATGAAAAGACAGTGAAGATGAGAAAAGAGAATTCAAAGCAAAGGAAGCAACTTCTACAGATCCCCTGAGACTGGAAGGAGCTTGGCTTGTTCAAAGAAAGGACTGCCAGTTTGGCTGAACTGTGGTGAGCAAGGGAGAAAGTGGAAGGGGAGGTTACAGAGGAAGGCAGGGTCCACATTGCACAGGGCTTGAGTGAACAGGGTGAGGAGTTTGGATTTTATCTAAGTGCTGTGGAAAACCATTTGAGCATTTGAGATTAAGTTGTCAACCTGAGAAACATCCAAACTTCTAGAGAATTGTTAGGAGTTTTTGAGCCAAACTGATGACATATGCCGGGGAGCAAGATCTAAATTTGTTATTGAGCCGAATCAAGTCCAATTACTCAGTAAGTCACCATCCAAAAGATAACTCTGAGAAGATTTTATGAGAGGGAATGTACTTTATTTCGAGATGGCTGGCAAGGGGGTATGAGTGTCACTCCCCAAAGCAGCATGTCCCTGAACAAATAAATGATCAGGTTCATCTTTATTCTGGGAAATCATGCATCACCATCAAGGTGAGCTTTGTCATCGCATGTATAGGTGAGGACATTCCTGCGCATGTGCAGTTAGAAACCATGCCTATACCTACATCACATGTTCAAAAGTGGCAGAAAATCTCTGCCCCCAGGAGGAGATTTTAGTATTATAATGAGGGTATAATGAGAATAGTTCATGAATAAGTCAATATAGAGTCCTCCAGGCCACTTCGGCCAGCCTCAGGCAGTTTGATCAGGATCAACCCCGTGATCCTGCAAATCATCCTGGGCTTATCTCGGAAAAAAACTGTCTGGCCATCTTCAGTGTCAGGAATGGTATAGGTATGGAAGGAAGTTTAAGTCTCAATCCTCTTATTAAACTCTTAGCAAATTACAGGATATGGTTGCACAAACCTTATAACATCCAGGGTGATCTAAGTGGGTTTACAGGTTAATCTAAGAAAGTTATGAATTCTAAATAAAATTTAGTCTATGCTAGGCTACTTGCATGGCTGTGTGTGTATGTATAGGCTAGGTTATGAATTGTTTGCAGCTTCTTTTATGCATTTGGAATTAAGCAGAGGACGTAAGGAAGATTACATGAACATGGGAGAAAGCAAAGTACAGGATAGTTAAGATTATGTGCTCTTTTGAGGATGGTCGCCCTTTAAAAGGAAGGGTTCTGAAAAGAGGCATTTCAAAGAGGCATTAACCTAGATGTACAGATACAGTGGAAAGGGCTTGCTTAAGGCAAAGATAATCCTTAGGAAAGAAGTTATCTGCCTGGGGCATGACTACCTGCCCTGACCTACCTAGCTAGGAGTTTATGATCAGAGCACCCTATGAGGTTACTTTCCATAGAACTCCCTTTTTCATCCACAGTGTTTTAAGTAGAGAGATGATATTCTAATTATTGCTGCATAAAAACCACCCCAACATTTAATGGTTTGAAACAAGAATTTATTATTTATCATAGTTTGGGAGTTGATGAGCTCTGTAATCCCTCATACTCAGATTTTACAGTTAGATAATAGCTGAGTCTGGAGTCATTTGAAGGCTTTTTACCTTACATTTCTGGTTCCTGGTCTCAGATGACTGGAACAGCTGGAGGCGGTCAGGCATCTGTCACCTGGCAGCTGCTCCATGTGACTGCCTTGGGCTTGCACACAACATGGTGATCTCAGGATAGCTGGACGACTTACATGACAGCTGATTACCCCTAGAGAGAAGTAGAAGCTGTGTAGCCTAGGTCCAGAAACTGGCACAGTGTCACTTTTGCCATATTCTATTGGTAAAAGCAGTAACAGAGCCCACTGTTATTCCAAGGGAGGGGATAGATCCCACCTCTCAATGGGAAAAATGTCCAAGAATTTGTGGCCATCTTTAAGCTACCAGAGATGACAATCCTTTTTACATTTTAAAAGGATCTTTCTGGGTGCTGGGAGTGGGGCTAGGGAAGAGCATTTTAATGCTCATCCTTTAGGCACCCACAGCATCTTGTGGCTGCCTTTATCAGTACATATCATACAGTTTTGCAGTTATTTGTTTATATATCTTTTCTCCGCTGGACTGAGCTCTCCTTGAGCTCTCTTCTGAATCCCCACAATCTTATAGCTCATGTTTTATGGCTCAAAGAATAATTACAAACACAGTCAGAGGGAGGCCAAAGCATTAAAGGCATGCAAGTATACTTTTACATATTTCCATTATAATTATAAATCTAATTGCCATGCAGGCATAAGGTATAGCTTTTAAAACTTTTACATTTCTCAGATAAAAACATCGAGAAATGTTTTAGCATTTATGATCCTATCTAAAGATACCTTCATTGAATTTTAACTCTCGTTTTTGAGTATTAATATTTCATTCTCATTTTTATACTGAGAAAATTGTCAAAATATGTTTTAATTCTTAGAAACAAAAACGTCTCATTTATAAATCAGCTTTTGTTGGGGTCTGCTTTATGTGAAACTTTAGTGGAGGAGATAACAAAGAACTAGAGGTTTCATTTGAAAGACTAACATTTTAGTGTAGGGG